GTGTGTGTGTGTGTGTGTGTGTGTGCGCGCGTGCGTGTGTGTGAGAGAGAGAGAGAGAGAGAGATCGAGAGAGACTCCTTCTGCAACCTCCCAAACTTTATTTGTATGTGTGCATTGTTATTTGTGCTTGAGCAACATTTTACTTGAACTTTATTTCAATGAAATTAGTTGTAATTATTGTCCTACACAGGCGGCGTTTATCCAGCAGCCACAACATCCATCTGTGCCGGCCCCCAGGTCAAGATCTACTGTGGCTCAAGGGCCTTCGCCAGAGCCATCACCACCAAGGACCAGCAGACCAGCATCACTACAGCTGCCTCCACCTCCATGTGCGGCTGCCACCAGGTCAAGATACACCTCAGCACAAAGACTCCACCACAGCCATCACCTTCAACCCAGCCGGAAAGGAGGTCTCCTATAGCACTTGTACACCCCACCTACACAGCAGCCCATGCACCATCACCCCCATCTTCACAGCAGCCAGACCCACTGTCTTGGAAGACAGACAAAGACCTTGACACTGTCTTGACATTTATAATGAATAGTTGGTTGAAAGTTCTGATGTTCAATATTGTAAATAGCAGAGGTGGGACCAAGTCATTGTTTTGCAAGTCCGAGTCAAGTCTCAAGTCTTTGCGCTCAAGTCCGAGTCAAGTCTCAAGTCATTGTTTTGCAAGTCCAAGTCAAGTCTCAAGTCAGGATGGGCAAGTTCAAGTCAAGTCAAGTCCTAAACTTTGACACAACGAGTCATAAACAAGTCATTATGTGTTTTTCACCAAATGTAATGACATCGATCAACAGAATAATACTTAATAATCAAACAGCTCTTTATTAGTCACATTAATAATTTAATAATCCATTTTCTCTCTGCTGGTAAAGTAACGTGTGTTTTTCTAATTTAAGAGGGATCAGTAAGGTAAGGCTACCGTGACGGTTTGATTCAGAAGGAGTTTAATGTATAAGATCCCTGATGTTGAGGTAACCAGAATGTTTATTTCCACTGTGTACAACATGTTATAAGGGGCCCACAATCTATCTTTATGCAAGGGATAATGTGCAGCGAGGCGGTCTCTATGGGGAAAAGAACACCTGCATCTAGATCCCTCTGCAGGTGGTACTTTAAGTATATTTTGATGCTAATACTTTTGTACTTTTACTTGTAACATTTTGAATGCAGGACTTTTTATTGTACAGGGTTCCTGCAGGTTTCGCCAACTCAAATTTAAGACTTTTTAACACCTTTTTAAGACCACTTTGAATAGAATTTAAGACCTATTTCACGGCAATAAAGTATGAAGGAAAATGTATATAAAGAAGAAATACGTCCCATAATCACTTACAAAGTAAATGTATTCATGTTCAACATAAGAACAATGACTGAACACAACAGCGTAACAGTACAGAACTGTGTTAGCGTGTTAGACAAAAAGTGTGTGTATGTGTGTGCGCTTGAGTGTGTGTGTGTGTGTGTGTGTGTGTGTGTGTGTGTGTGTGTGTGTGTTAGGGCTGTGCAATTAATCATATTTTAATCGCAATTACGATTTTGGCCTGCCACAATTACGAAAACAACATAATCGGAAAAAACGATTATTTTGCTTTGCTAGGTTGTGACAGTGCACCACAACATATTTGATCTAATGAATTTTTTAGTAATGTATCATTTATTTAATTAATTTTTGTATTAGTTTTTCAGTTGAATTATACGTTCAGGGTAATCAACAGTTAAACATATACTGTTCAAATTATTATTTGTTTTAAAGTTCAATAAATGGATGTTTTCAAAGTCAATGAATAATCATATTTAATAAACGTGATATTAATTATTGACCAACATAATCTTGATTATTGCCATAATCGAGCAGCCCTAGTGTGTGTGTGTGTGTGTGTGTGTGTGTGTGTGTGTGTGTGTGTGTGTGTGTGTGTGTGTGTGTGTGTGTGTGTGTGTGTGTGAGAGAGAGAGCTATATTCAGAGCTCTGCTGCCTTGGCTACACTATTTCATCGTTGCTGTTGTATGATTGGTGTTTAGCTACGGTATTTAGCGTCTACAGCACCTCCGCTTTTAGGGTTGACGTAGACCCAAACTTCGCCCGGAGGTCCCCCGGTGTTGTTGCGGGAGCTGCTGCACTAGCTAACACTCCACTAGCTAACGCTACATTAGCAAAACAAACGCTAATTTATTTTGCAAAAGGTGCAGCGGGCTTCAAACACGTTCCCTCCACTGGTTTCAACCAAGCACTAAATTAGATGTGTTCCAACAAAATACGGTTGAACTGACACTTCCCCATATTTATTTGTAAGTAGATTCGAAGATAGGCTACATGAGCTGAAGCTTGGTTGCTAGGTTACTAGCTGGGTGTTCTCCAATAAGGGGCCGGGGGAAACAAAGTTAGTGATTACTGGTTCCATGTTGATTTAATTCAATACAAATTGTTGGGGGGAACTGAAAGGCTATTACCGTACTGGTTACTTTGCAGCCCGGACATTTCCCCCAAAACACATTTAGACGCTATCGCAACATAGAAGTATCTTTCAAATCCGATAATTTTTAAGACCTTCTGAATCATATTTAAGACCTTTTTAAGGCCTTAAAAACCCTGCTCTGAAGGTTATTTTCATTTTACAAATCCTGCACTCAGCTTTGTTTTCTCCAATATCATTGAAAAGCAGCCAGATGCTGCTTCTTTTTTCGGTTTTCGCTCATTTCTTGACTTTTTCCGACGCGCTTGCAATTAAATCCGTCTCCCCGTCGCTCTGTGCAGCTGGCCTGTACCACTACACATGCTGTACCCCCCACCCTTCTTTCACATAATGGTATGATCCTAGTGTGTCCTCGCATATGATTGGCCGCATGGTGGGCCAGCTAAATAAAGACCCGCCCCTGCCTGCAAGGATTCTCAGCAAGAGTAGGAGCGGCTGAAGATTCTGCTTTCCCCGACGGGAGTCTGCTCTTCTAGCGGCAGCTCGCGATCGGCGTGTTGGAGACCTCTGAATTAAAGTAGCAAGTCACCTCAAGTCAGAAGGCTCAAGTCCAAGTCAAGTCCCGAGTCATTGGTGTTCAAGTCCAAGTCGAGTCGCAAGTCTTTTGTGATGTTGTCAAGTCGAGTCTCAAGTCATCAAATGTGTGACTCGAGTCTGACTCGAGTCCAAGTCATGTGACTCGAGTCCACACCTCTGGTAAATAGTGAGATTTTCCAGTTTCTTATATTTATATAAATAGTTGGTTGAAAAAAACATATTTGTTTGAATGCTCAATTTGTATTTGTACACATCACATGAACCTTGGTATGTAATATGAAGTCATTATTCAGTCCTGATGTATCTCAGTCCATGCTGTGGTGAAAGTAGAGTGATAAACACCTATTTTACTCAAAATTTGAATTTAATGTTTTTCATTTTAGACATGAATAACACATTTATATACAGTGTAATTCAAATATTTCACTGCTTTTGTGACACCAAAACAATTCGATCACATGAGTAAATTTGTGTTTTCACAAGAGTTTTGAAGATTTTCCAAAAATCGGATTTCACATTTTAAGCTTTTGAGCTACTTATCTCATCAAACAGTGCTCTAAGGTGAGCAATATGCATATATAGCAAGACCAGAGATTGTCCTGGACATTTTGATATTTAACACATGGGGTGCCATGTTAGAAGAAATACATTTAAAAGGTGATTTAAGAAAACATCTAAAAATCGAGAAAATACCCTTAGACTCCAGAGGGTTAAGCATAAATGTAAAAAAAAAAAAAAACCTGCAAGTTGCTCTTTCACAACGCTGCTGCATCAGTTAAGCTTTGTGCAGGCTGCTGAGCAGACATGATGGAATGGAAATAATCGCAAACGGAAAGACGAAAAATATTGTTTTCGCTTTTTTGAAATTCGCGGTTCTTCGCTGTTTTTTTTAAACGACTTCCTTTTCAACTGAGATGCCTTCCCTTTCAACTGAAATCCCTCTCACACAACATACTGAAATCCCTCTCACACAACATACTGAAATCCCTCAAACAACATACTGAAATCCCTCTCACACAAAATACTGAAATCACATTTCATGTGTGTGTGTGTGTGTGTGTGTGTGTGTGTGTGTGTGTGTGTGTGTGTGTGTGTGTGTGTGTGTGTGTGTGTTTCACATATGTATTAGAACATTTCATATGTGTGTATGTATGTGAGTGCGTTTCACATGTGTATAATATATGAGTGAGTTTCATGTGTGTGAGTGCATTTCATATGTGTGTGTGAACGGTATTTCTGAATAATGTCCCGTATGGCCCATCGTATGAGGGGCCGTGTAGGCCAAAATTCAAACTCACCTCACACACACACTACTGAAAACATCTGGCCTTGCACACACACTACTGAAATCCTCTCACATTCACTACTGAACACCTCACACACACACTACTGAAAACATCTGGCCTTGCACACACACTACTGAAATCCTCTCACATTCACTACTGAACACCTCACACACACACTACTGAAAACATCTGGCCTTGCACACACACTACTGAAATCCTCTCACATTCACTACTGAACACCTCACACACACACTACTGAAAACATCTGGCCTTGCACACACACTACTGAAATCCTCTCACATTCACTACTGAACACCTCACACACACACTACTGAAAACATCTGGCCTTGCACACACACTACTGAAATCCTCTCACATTCACTACTGAACACCTCACACACACGCTACTGAAAATTAACGTCATACACACACTATTGAAATCCTCTCACATTCATTACTGAACACCTCGCACACACACTACTGAAAATTAACCTCACACACACACACTCCTGAAAAATATTTTACTGAAAGGTTCTCAGTAGGGAATGTGCATGTGTTTCACCTATGTGTGTGTGAGGGGATTCTTGCTGTAACGGAAGTAATTATAATGTAACGGAAGTCATTCTAATGTAACGAAAGTCATCTGCTAGTGGGTCTCTTTGCTAGCCCCGTTAGCTTCATTAGCTCCAGGCTGCTACTCTTACGTGTTTGTTGTGTTGATGCCTGGTGGAGTATTCTTCATTGAAATATCGCACTTATCTTATGGCTCTGCGGTTCAAACAGACCGTCCATGAATGCAGTTTATTCGGTAAGTAAAATTCAAGCACTTTATTTCTTACTTGTCTTTTTATTCAGCTAACAAGCGAGACGAAGCTACATCTGTGCTAACGATGCTATCCGTAGCATACAAGTTAAAACATAATAGAGAAGTGTAAAACATTAAGAAGGATTATACTGTAAAACATAAGGCTTCTCGGTGAGGTTGGTAAAATAAGGTCATGCTTGTACATTAGTTAGTTTGCTAGTTAGGTAACTATGCATTGTTATTGTTAATTTAAAATAGCTATGCTCGACGATACAGACAGCTAGCGTTACATTAGTGTTGAAGAGCAGAGTACTGTATGAGATTAACCCATAGATTAACCTCACTATAAGATCTGTGTATCTTAAAAATATGAATCTCACATTTCCAGTTGGTTCCAGAAATAACGTTAACGTAGATATTGCAATATGGTTTGTTGAGCTGGAGTTGATTATTGAAGCTTACTGGTTAACGTTCATCATATTAAACGAACGAACCCAAACGTTGTTGTTTTTATTAATATTATTACCAATACTTACTTAGCATTTTATTATCATTACACTGGAGAAACCGATTTATTGTGGCAGCAGAACGTGAACATGTAACTTAATGCCTGCATTTGAGGACGAAAAATAGCTCAGTCAATGCTTTAGGGACAAGGAAATGATTTGTTTAAATATTAGATATGACGTTATGTGCAGTGGCGGCGGGTCATTAGGGGCAGGTGGGGCACAGCCCCACCTAGTGTCAGAAGAAAGTATTACAAATAATGATTACAAAAAAATACTAAAAAATAAATAAAAAAACATATAAAATATATTTTAAGGTCATGTTTAATAATCTGATTCGTCTGTACATTTCTGTTTTAGTCTGTGTTCTTCTAATTAGTGTCTAGAGTGCCGTTTTGAGCTGTTTAGAGCCATGTGGGACAAAACCCGATCCTGCCCTTCCCTCTCACAGTCTAAGTGAACGGTGATTGTAAAAACTACACTGCGCATGCTCAGAGTATTTTTCTATTGAATGTGTGTGGCAAAAAAATAATGACCGTAGGGGCAGAGTGCTCCCATCCCCACCATACGTCATCTCACATAATTCAGAATTGATTGGCTGTAAGTACTCACGTGTGCAGTGCTGCGAAACGTCACGTGTAGTTTGAAGAGGAGACGAGAGAGCAGCATATAGCTAACATCACCAGCGATTAAAAGAAGTAAAAAACTGAAAGAAAATGAATGAAGTTGACCATTTACTGGAGCACACATTTGAGACACTTAGCCCACCATCCACCGGATTTCCAAATGGTCCAGACTGCGGGCAAAGTTAAACGTGGGTTTAACGCTGAGTGGTTTGCTAAAAAGAAATGGCTAACGGCGAGCATCCAGAAGAATTCCCTCTTTTGCTTTCCTTGCCTGCTTTTTGGTGAAGATCAAGGTACTTGGTCGAGGACAGGTTACAAGGACTTAAGCATCTTTCGGAGAGGACAATGAAGCATGAGAGCAGCAACAGTCATTTGGAAAATGCCGTAAAATTGGGATTACTTGGAAGGGTGAATGTTGCAGCTCAGATTGACAGCGCCTACAGACGTGGCATTGATTCTCATAATAGGAAGGTGGAAGAAAACAGGTACGTGCTTGGTCGGATCATCACCTGTATTAAACTGTGTGGGAAATGTGAGACAGCACTGCGGGGCCACAACGAGTCGGCGGACTCTCTGAATCCAGGGATATTCAGGTCAATTTTCGAGACAATGTGTGAGGCTTCAACGGCACTACGAAGCTCAGCTTGTTTTCAAAGGGACATCAAGCACCATACAGAATGAACTCTTGGACTGCATGTATGATGTGTACAGGGAGGAAATAGCCAAGCAAGTGGACAACACATCATTTGTTGCCGTTCAGGCCGACGAGACAACCGATGTCTCCTGTAAATTGCAAATGGTGATTGTGCTGCGATACATTATGCCTGACCTCACAGTTACAGAGCGTTTTTTGGAGTTTGTGGAAGTAAAGGACAAAACTGGTGTAGGTCTCTCTAACAGCATCAAGGCTGTTCTGGAACCCCTGAAGCTGAAAGAAAAGCTAATCGCTCAGACCTATGACGGGGCGGCCGTCATGAGCGGTAACGTGCGCGGGGTACAGACGGTGATGAAGGAGATGTACCCAAACGCTCAGTTTGTTCACTGCTACGCCCACCAACTGAACCTGACCCTGCAGCAACTGTGTTCAGCAAGGATGAGCATCCTGAAGGGGTTTTTTTGCAGATCTAACTGCTTTTTTCCACTTTTTTCTCCGGTGCTCCAAAACGTGTTGCAGCTCTTGCAGAGGCAACACAGAGACGCATCCCACGGCCACCGGCTGTGAGATGGAACTTTAAAAGCAGAACTGTGAACGCGGTTTGGGAGACCCGAGATGCACTACTTCAGTGTATGAAGCATATACGCGCACAACCAGGATGGGATGCGGTCACCATAAGTGAGGCATACGGCCTGTCAAAGAAACTGCGGGGACCGAGCATTTATGCAGCTCCTGGAGTTTTTTTCGTTGCTTATGCCAGAAGTGGATGTTCTATACAACACTCTGCAAAAACGAAGCATCGATGCACCTGGGATCAACAGCGCGCTCTGCCGTTTCAAGGAAAATGTTCAGAAAATGAGGCAGAAAACTGATGCATTGGCCGCCACTGCTCATGATGGAACAGACGAGCCAGGCCGACGAGTCAGCAGCACAGCGCCGGTGATGAAGGAGGCTTGTGACACAGTCATCTCACAGGTGGAACAGAGGTTCTCACAGAGTGACCATTTGATCGCTGCAAAGCTTGTTGACAGCTCATTCTTCCCACAGCATGTCCTGTCATTTCCTACACCTGAGCTTGACTGCGCCGTGAAACTGGCCTGCGTTGGGAAACAAGGAGAAGTTGAAGTCTGAGCTGACCGCGCTCTACCGCCACAGTGAGCTTCACACTGGAAACACTGCCCTGTCTCTGTTGAAATCCATTCACGAGAACAACTTGGAGGAAACGTTTGCTGAGACTGTTATTTTGGTCAAAATAATAGTGACAACTCCGATGACGATATCCGAGTCAGAGAGGAACTTTTCCACCCTCAAAAGGATAAAGACTTTCACTCGCAACACCATGGGACAGCCGCGACTTAACGCATTGGCCATGCTTTCAATTGAAAGCCAGTTGATCCAGCAACTACAGGACTTCATCCCCAAAGTGATAGACACATTCTGTCAGAGGAAGGACCGCCGTGCCGCTTTTCTTTTCAAGTGAGCCTTCAGCTTTGGTAAGTTCATTTATGTCATATATTTTGTTGATCTTCTGTGTTTTGCCTCTGCTGGATCGATTGATATTGTGACCTCGATGATGAGTGTCTGTGTTTTCCTTATATTTACAGTCTATGGTGTTTTAATGCTAAAGCATTACGGTTGTTGTTATTGTTAAGAATTACTTTGTGATGGTGACCTTTACTCCATGTATGAAGGTGCATTACTATGATATCCCCACGCTGTGTACGTAAATGTATGCGCTCACAGTGTTGCTCCTGTGGTCTTCAGTATGTAATTTGACACTCCCCCTCTCTCTCTCTCCTCCCCCCCTCTCTCTGTCCCCCCCCTCTCTCTCTCTCTCTCTCTCTCCCCCGACCTCTTTCTGCCCCCCAGTTTTGTACACCTAGAAACGCCACTGGTTATGTGTGCTTCTGTGACAATGAAGCTTATTCATTGCATTACATTTGTTGAAGATGTTTGTCTTTTACCCTTATGTGTGTGTTACACATGAATGTGAATATGGCATAGGACCAGGGCCGGACTGGGACAATATGTCAGGCCGGGAATTATACACCATACATACAATACATACATACAAATCTATAAATGCCTTAAGGTTTCTAAAATATACAATATGTGGTAAATTCAACAGTGGATCCAGCAAAGATTCACATTTTTGCATGATTTTTGTTATTGATTTGTTGCTGTTACTTAATTATACTTTTAATAAATTCAAGTCAAGCTTAGTTACATGTGATGGTAGCTATATGCTCTTACCTGTGTGCCTCCTCCGCAACCAGACTGTATTCAAACTCTCAAGTACCAGTTATATCTACTTTAAACAATTAAAAAGACAAAATCAACTACATTTATTGATATACCAATCTTTATTTTTGGGGCCTCTTCTTCTTTTAAATTAAACTTTCAGACGTGAGATATTGAAATACAGTAATAGTTTTGTCTATTTAAAAAAGAATGAGCCATTCCTTACAGTTAACTTCATATTTCTTATTGTCTAAAGCATTTATGACACACATTTCCCCCTCATATTCACAGTGTGGATCAATTGAGACAGCGTGCAGAGACTTTGGGAGAAACCTCAGCATGACGGATGTCCTGTCTGTGGGTTTGGCTGGAGAGGACTGAGGTGGAGAGGTCTTTCTTTGGGAGGAGGCCCAGGCCTGATGAAGAAACCCCCTAACTGCATCTGTGAGCACATACTGGGCTCAGCTGTCACAAACAAATGATGGTCCTGTTTGACTTTGTGTTCACAATAAAAGTGTAGTTTCTTAGTGAATGTCCTGTATTGGTCTTTAATCTGAAATCAGCTTTTCATTTTCTTCTTGCCCCTCTGAGAAAACGGTGAGGCAGTTGTGTCCTTCAGGTATGTCCTTTCCTAACAGAAATGACAAGAAACATGACATTATTGCAGAGCAAGTGTGTTATTTATGAAAGGTTTGTTTATTTAGCGGCTGTAGAAATATTGTATTTTTTTAATTTTAATGTGTTTTTTTAATTCATCACTTTGTACTACAAAGATAATCAGATTATGAATGAACAGTCTGCAGTTAATCAACATTAAAATATCTTATTAAATAATATTCAACTGCTCCGTTGTCTCACTGTAAGAACCACTTTTACCACGTCTTTTACAGACAATATGTAGAGACAAATGGTAGCAATTCTCAATGTAAAATAATAATTGCCTTAAATACATTGAAATGTGAAAGCTGATTATAGTTGTTACTTTATTTAAACCAGAATGTTTCTCGATTCTTTGTACAGTATGAAAGGAGTCTTTGTACCTTTGAGTCCATGCTGAAGTTCACTGATGTTAGGAATAGGTCTGTCTCTCGTGGTCAGCATCCTCTGGTCTGTCTGCATCACCTGGAAACTTTAAACAAACAGATGTATATGTAAAGTAACAATGTGTTGGTCACAGACTTTTTTTACATGCAAATGTCATGTGATAATCTTTTTGTTATCCTTAAAAAAAGTGCTGGATATCAAAGCCCTTACTGTGTCTTATCAGTTGGATTGTGTATTATTGTATAGTTGGGGTCCTTTTTATTTCAGAATCGTTTTTCATGAGACAGTCAATTTAAATATTTGTCCTATGCCATATTCACATTCATGTGTAACACACACGTAAGGGTAAAAGACAAACATCTTCAACAAATGTAATGCAATGAATAAGCTTCATTGTCACAGAAGCACACATAACGTCATATATAATATTTAAACAAATCATTTCCTTGTCCCTAAAGCATTGACTGAGCTATTTTTCGTCCTCAAATGCAGGCATTAAGTTACATGTTCACGTTCTGCTGCCACAATAAGTCGGTTTCTCCAGTGTAATGATAATAAAATGCTAAGTAAGTATTGGTAATAATATTATTAAAAACAACAACGTTTGGGTTCGTTTGTTTAATATGATGAACGTTAACCAGTAAGCTTCAACAATCAACTCCAGCTCAACAAACCATATTGCAATATCTACGTCAACGTTATTTCTGGAACCAACTGGAAATGTGAGATTCATATTTTTCAGATACACAGATCTTATAGTGAGGTTAATCTATGGGTTAATCTCATACTCTGCTCTTCAACACTAATGTGACGCTAGCTGACTGCATCGTCGAGCATAGCTATTTTAAATTAACAATAACAATGCATACAGTTACCTAACTAGCAAACTAACTAATGTACAAGCATGACCTTATTTTACCAACCTCACCGAGAAGCCTTATGTTTTACAGTATAATCATTCTTAATGTTTTACACTTCTCTATTATGTTTTAACTTGTATGCTACGGATAGCATATTTAGCACAGATGTAGCTTCGTCTAGCTGAATAAAAAGACAAGTAAGAAATAAAGTGCTTGAATTTTACTTACCGAATAAACTGCATTCATGGACGGTCTGTTTGAACCGCAGAGCCATAAGATAAGTGCGATATTTCAATGAAGAAGAATACTCCACACAACAAACACGTCCGAGTAGCAGCCTGGAGCTAATGAAGCTAACGGGGATAGCAAAGAGACCACTAGCAGATGACTTCCGTTACATTAGAATGACTTCCGTTACAGCAAGAATGACTTCCGTTACAGCAAGAATGACTTCCGTTACAGCAAGAATCCCCTCACACACACATAGGTGAAACACATGTACATTCCCTACTGAGAACCTTTCAGTAAAATGTTTTTCAGGAGTGTGTGTGTGAGGTTAATTTTCAGTAGTGTGTGTGTGAGGTGTTCAGTAGTGAATGTGAGAGGATTTCAGTAGTGTGTGTGTGTGAGGCTTAATTTTCAGTAGTGTGTGTGTGAGGTGTTCAGTAGTGAATGTGAGAGGATTTCAGTAGTGTGTGTGTGTGAGGTGTTCAGTAGTGAATGTGAGAGGATTTCAGTAGTGTGTGTGTGTGAGGTGTTCAGTAGTGAATGTGAGAGGATTTCAGTAGTGTGTGTGTGAGGTGTTCAGTAGTGAATGTGAGAGGATTTCAGTAGTGTGTGTGCAAGGCCAGATGTTTTCAGTAGTGTGTGTGAGGTGTTCAGTAGTGAATGTGAGAGGATTTCAGTAGTGTGTGTGCAAGGCCAGATGTTTTCAGTAGTGTGTGTGCGAGGTGAGTTTGAATTTTGGCCTACACGGCCCTTCATACTTGTGGCTCATCCTCCGCTATGGCACTACTTACCTCTTCCATTCCTACCAACCTCTCTGGACATACAAATAATCCTGTTGTGAGTTCTACTCTTAAAATCTGGTACCAATTTAGGAGGCATTTTAAGTTTACTTCTGCATCCACTTTAGCTCCTTTATTGGGAAACCATTTATTCCGACCTGCCTTATCTGACCCCACTTTCTCTGTATGGCATGAGAAGGGCCTGAGGACTTTTAGAGAGCTTTATAAGGATAATACCTTTCGTAGTTTTACTGATATATCAAGGGAATTTGAACTCCCAACATCTCACCTTTTTCGTTATTTCCAAATTAGACACTGTACCAAATCCCTGTTTCCATCCTTTCCCTCTCTACCCCCTAATCAACTATGGGATGAGTTTCTTTGTTCCGATCCCCTTCAAAAGTCACTTATTTAAAAAATATATAACAAACTCCTGACCGATGACAGCTCACACACCACTAAAATCAAGGCTGCTTGGGAGGCTGAGCTAGGTGTGAACTTGGGTGATCACTGGTGGGACACTGCTCTTAACAGGATTCATACAAGTTCATCCTGTGCTCGTCTCACTCTCATACAGTTCAAGGTGCTGTACAGGGTTCATTTCTCAAAGGCACGATTGTCACAAATATATCCCACTGTTATTGACATCTGTGACAAATGTCAAGCCTCTCCCTGCAACCTATCCCATATGTTCTTCTCCTGCCCATTAGTGTTTTCCTTTTGGCAGAAGTTTTTTGAGGATATCTCAAAAATACTCTCACTCACTGTGAAAGTCTGTCCCCATATTGCCATATTTGGGTGCCCAGAAGATTACAACAGATACAACTCGGGGCAATTAGATATTTTGGCATTTACTTCGTTATTGGCAAGACGACTTCTTCTTCTTCACTGGAAATCCAAAAAAGCTCCTTCCAATGCTAAGTGGCGCAGCGATGTCATGTATTTTCTAAAATTGGAGAAAATTAAGTATTCATTAAGAGGCAGAACCTCTATGTTTTACACTAAGTGGCAACCCTTCTTAACCTTCTTCCAATCTCTCGCATTTTTGGTTACTGATTGATGGACAACCCCCCCCCCCCTTCCCCTTTATTACGTATTTATGTTAATTTGTTGTCTTTGTATTGTTTTAGTATTATTATTTTGATTTTATTATTATTATCTTGTTTAGTTCAGTCGGTACACTACTCCCTTATATTTGGCTATCTGGTCTGTTTGAGTTATGAAGGTGGCTTAAATACTGTATGCCTTCAAGAGAAAATTAACCATGTATGGCTTGTCAATTGATGCACAATAGTAGAGACTAAATGGTTACTACTAACTTTGAACTGTGGTCCCTGTCAATGTACCAAATGTCTTTTTTATGTGTCTTCAATAAAAATATATTTAAAAAAAAAAAGATGGCAGAAAACATACATTATTGTACTCTGGAGGGGAGTTTGACGGGGTATTACTCAAAAAGTACAGGATAAAAGTACTTGATTGTACTTGTGGCAGTAGTCCAAGTAGTGCTCTGTCCAGCAGTACCACTTTCACTGAGAACTTATGGCAGAAAATCATTTTATCTCTCATCAAAGATGGCATAAAACATACATTATTGTACTCTGGAGGGGAGTTTGACAGGGTATTACTCAAAAAGTACACGATAGAAGTACTTGATTGTGCTTGTGGCAGTAGTCCAAGTAGTACTCTGTCCAGCTGTACTACTTTCACTGAGAACTTATGGCAGAACATCATTTTATCTCTCATCAAAGATGGCATAAAACATACATTATTCTACTCTGGAGGGGAGTTTGACGGGGTATTACTAAAAGAGTACACGATAGAAGTACTTGATTGTACTTGTGGCAGTAGTCCAAGTAGTACTCTGTCCAGCACTACCACTTTCACTGAGAACTTATGGCAGAAAATCATTGTATCTCTCATCAAAGATGGCAGAAAACATACATTATTGTACTCTGGAGGGGAGTTTGACAGGGTATTACTCAAAAAGTACACGATAGAAGTACTTGATTGTACTTGTGGCAGTAGTCCAAGTAGTACTCTGTCCAGCAGTACCACTTTCACTGAGAACTTATGGCAGAAAATCATTTTATCTCTCATCAAAGATGGCAGAAAACATACATTATTGTACTCTGGAGGGGAGTTTGACGGGGTATTACTCAAAAAGTACACGATAAAAGTACTTGATTGTACTTGTGGCAGTAGTACTCTGTCCAGCTGTACCACTTACACTGAGAACTTATGGCAGACAATCATTTTATCTCTCATCAAAGATGGCATAAAACATACATTATTGTACTCTGGAGGGGAGTTTGACAGGGTATTACTCAAAAAGTACACGATAGAAGTACTTGATTGTGCTTGTGGCAGTAGTCCAAGTAGTACTCTGTCCAGCAGTACCACTTTCACTGAGAACTTATGGCAGAAAATCATTTTATCTCTCATCAAAGATGGCAGAAAACATACATTATTGTACTCTGGAGGGGAGTTTGACAGGGTATTACTCAAAAAGTACACGATAGAATTACTTGATTGTACTTGTGGCAGTAGTCCAAGTAGTACTCTGTCCAGCTGTACCACTTACACTGAGAACTTATGGCAGAAAATCATTTTATCTCTCATTAAAGATGGCAGAAAACATACATTATTGTACTCTGGAGGGGAGTTTGACGGGGTATTACTCAAAAAGTACACAATAAAAGTACTTGATTGTACTTGTGGCAGTAGTCCAAGTAGTACTCTGTCCAGCAGTACCACTTTCACTGAGAACCTATGGCAGAAAATCATTTTATCTCTCATCAAAGATGGCATAAAACATACATTATTGTACTCTGGAGGGGAGTTTGACAGGGTATTACTCAAAAAGTACACGATAGAAGTACTTGATTGTGCTTGTGGCAGTAGTCCAAGTAGTACTCTGTCCAGCTGTACTACTTTCACTAAGAACTTATGGCAGACGATCATTTTATCTCTCATCAAAGATGGCATAAAACATACATTATTGTACTCTTGAGGGGAGTTTGACAGGGTATTACTCAAAAAGTACACGATAGAAGTACTTGATTGTGCTTGTGGCAGTAGTCCAAGTAGGACTCTGTCCAGCTGTACTACTTTCACTGAGAACTTATGGTAGAAAATCATTTTATCTCTCATCAAAGATGGCAGAAAACATACATTATTGTACTCTGGAGGGGAGTTTGACAGGGTATTACTCAAAGAGTATACGATAGAAGTACTTGATTGTACTTGTGGCAGTAGTCCAAGTAGTACTCCGTCCAGCTGTACTACTTTCACTAAGAACTTATGGCAGACGATCATTTTATCTCTCATCAAAGATGGCATAAAACATACATTATTGTACTCTTGAGGGGAGTTTGACAGGGTATTACTCAAAAAGTACACGATAGAAGTACTTGATTGTGCTTGTGGCAGTAGTCCAAGTAGGACTCTGTCCAGCTGTACTACTTTCACTGAGAACTTATGGTAGAAAATCATTTTATCTCTCATCAAAGATGGCAGAAAACATACATTATTGTACTCTGGAGGGGAGTTTGACAGGGTATTACTCAAAGAGTATACGATAGAAGTACTTGATTGTACTTGTGGCAGTAGTCCAAGTAGTACTCTGTCCAGAAGTACCACTTTCACTGAGAACTTATGGCAGAAAATCATTTTATCTCTCATCAAAGATGGCATAAAACATACATTATTCTACTCTGGAGGGGAGTTTGACAGGGTATTACTCAAAAAGTACACGATATAAGTACTTGATTGTACTTGTGGCAGTAGTCCAAGTAGTACTCTGTCCAGCACTACCACTTTCACTGAGAACTTATGGCAGAAAATCATTGTATCTCTCATCAAAGATGGCAGAAAACATACATTATTGTACTCTGGAGGGGAGTTTGACAGGGTATTACTCAAAAAGTACACAATAAAAGTACTTGATTGTACTTGTGGCAGTAGTCCAAGTAGTACTCTGTCCAGCAGTACCACTTTCACTGAGAACCTATGGCAGAAAATCATTTTATCTCTCATCAAAGATGGCATAAAACATACATTATTGTACTCTGGAGGGGAGTTTGACAGGGTATTACTCAAAAAAGTACACGATAGAAGTACTTGATTGTGCTTGTGGCAGTAGTCCAAGTAGGACTCTGTCCAGCTGTACTACTTTCACTGAGAACTTATGGTAGAAAATCATTTTATCTCTCATCAAAGATGGCAGAAAACATACATTATTGTACTCT